TGCCAACAGCATAGTTAAAGTAAATAGGATTCTTTTTTCGAGTGACAGACATGCACACAGTTAAGATTAAGGTATATTTGCCAATTTCGCACCACTTATTAAATTTTTTTTAAAGAAGAACGTAGTATTTCATAGTCAGTGGAACTCTTAATTTCATGAAAAAATGACACTCGTCAACAAACAGTCGCAACTTGGCAATAACTACGGTCTGGGTATCATTATTGAATATTAAAAACAATAGTGGCCCAAGCACAAATCTCCGTGGGACACCCGAAGAGACATGATCAAATGAAGAGCTTGCGGTGTTTAACTGCACATATTGTCGCGGTTAAAACAGATAATCTTGGACCCAGTTTAATATTTGTTCGTTGTTTAATAATGTGCTCAGCTTGTTGAACAGCCTTTTGTGGGATGCGCGATCGAAAGCTTTCGAAAAGTCTGAATAAATTACGTCTATCTATCCCCGTTTGTTAATTACTGAGACGAACTGGCGAACAACTTCAACTAATTACGTAATTGTGGACACTTTCATACGAGATCCATGGTGAATGCTGGTAAAAAAATGATTAAACTCGAGGTAGGACGATATGTGCTTGAACACCACATATTCTAGAACTTTAGTACACGTGCTCAGAAGAGAAAGAGGTTGATAATTGGAAATAAGTTTAGTCACCAAATTTGTCTACGGGTATTACTTTGTCAACTCTCCACCCCGCAGGGACAGTGGAGGTACTTACTGAACATCGGAATATGACAACCAAGTATTTAGAACACCACTTGAGATGGGATGCAACCAGGAAAGAAAAATAGCCTTTCTTCGATTTTCTTTAGTCACTGATCGTTCTTCTATTGGTATTCTTTCGGATTACCTTTAGAATTCGGCAGCGTCTATCTCGTGGAAGCCGGGAATATAATTTCCCCGAAATTCTTCCAGCACTCACCTGCCATTGGCTGTCTGAAATCATGTCACAACTGCAGGTAGAATACTGAATGTTTTTATTCTCCCTGCGTTTCGTGATAACACGTTCCACGGCCACCTTTTCGTGGATACACGTTTCATGGACACGTTTCGCCATTCGTTACGCGAATTGCACGCTGTAGTGGCATTTCGTCTCACGTGTATTCCTGAGGCGCGTGCTCACCGACCCAGCCCACCCTTTCACGCCGCTTCATGGTGGGTGTTCAGGGCTCATTACAAAAAAAAAAAAGAAGCTATTTTGAGTTTTGTTTAATGAAACATCGCCTGTTGATGAAACGATCTGTCGATAAAACGTCGTTCGAGGAACTGATTGCACCGCCAATGAGGTGCAACTGGCGGTAGGATTTCGAGGAAAAAATTATGTCAGCTGCCGGGAGGCTGGACACTACCCAAGAATTACCCGGTTGTTGTTTGCTTTGCAATCTTCTCATTTGTATAACAGCTGAGTGGTACCTCTTCACATATTACAAATATATTTATTTATTACAATACCCTCAGGGACAAAAGGCATTACAGAGGGGGTGGGGCAACCAAAAAATGAAAAAAAAAGGGTACAAAAAGAGAGCAAACACAGCCGAGAATTAACATCAACAGCTCGAAACACAGCACTCTGGTCAAAAAATAAACAAAAGGACAATCACGACAAAAGGTGAGCAGATAAGGTTTTTTTAAATAAATCAATTGAAGGTATATTAACAAACGAAGCGGGAAGGTGGTTCCACTCAAGAGATGTTTTTGGAATAAACGCGTTCAAAAAGGCTGATGTGTTACAATGAGGGACACCAACTTTGAATGGATGATCAAAACGCGGAGAAATGAATGGGGGCTCAAGGAACAGTTTATCTTTCAATGACGTGTTAGAATGATAGATCTTGTAAAAGAGGCACAAGCGCGATATTTTGCGACGTAAAGAGAGAGAGGGTAGGGATAGACTGAGTTTCATGGAGGAAACGCTTGCTGTACGATGATAGTTAGAAAGTATAAAACGAACTCCGCGATTTTGCATGGCTTCCAGGTTAGTTATAAGTGTCGAGTGACCGGGATCCCAGATAGCAGCAGCGTATTCTAATTTTGACCGGACCAGGGAGTTATAAAGCAGTAATTTCAAAGAAACGGGGGCCAGTGTAAAATTTCTTTTTAGAAAACCGAGCATAGAGTTAGCGTTAGCAATAATGTGGTCAATGTGGGTTTTCCATGACATGTTATAGGTAATATAGACACCCAGGTATTTGTAACAGGTCACAGACTGAAGTTGAGTGTTACAAATTGAGAGAGGTGGAAGAACCGTGTGACGACGAGAAACTCTCATAGACTTGCACTTGTTAATGTTAAGGGACATCTGCCACAATTCACACCATTGGGATACAGCACACAAATCATTTTGGAGGAAGAGTGAATCGGATTCATTAGTAACTTCACGATATATCACACAGTCGTCGGCAAATAAGCTAATAGAAGAGGATACACACGTAGGTAAGTCGTTAATGTAAATAAGAAACAATAAGGGCCCCAGAACGGACCCTTGGGGGACACCGGAAGTGACTGGACTTAGAGAAGAGTTAGCATCATTAGTATACACAAACTGAGAACGATTAGTAAGAAAACATTCAATCCAAGACAAAATATTAGGATCAATATGCAAGTGACTGAGCTTGAAAAGTAAAAGTTTGTGAGAGACTTTATCGAATGCCTTACAGAAATCTAGAAAGACGCAATCAACCTGGGAACCACGGTCGAGGATGGAAAGTAGGTCATTAGTGAAAGTGATAAGCTGGGTTTCGCAGGACAGTGATTTGCGAAAACCGTGTTGTGATGCAGTAAAAAAAGAATTTGAATCAAGAAAGTTAGCAAGATGTGAGTAAATTACGTGCTCTAAAATTTTGCAGGGAGTACTGATAAGGGAAATGGGTCGATAATTGGAAGGGTTATGTTTACTGCCTGATTTGTGAAGCGGAATCACCTTCCCAATTTTCCAGTCGTCTGGTAAAACGCCAAGGTTAACAGATTGTTGAAATATTTTGCAAAGAAAAATGGAAATGTAATTTTTAGTTCTCTTAAGAAATTTCGGTGTGATATTGTCAACGCCACAGGAGGAAGATGGTTTTAGATCATCAATAAGTTTTATAATTCCGTCATAGTCAAAAGCAAGTGGATCCATTTGAAAAAAACCATATCTCGGGAAAGTACCAGGGTAAACAGGAACAACATCACTAGCGAATTCTTTGACAAAATATTCATTAAAAACGGAAGCACAACTTTGACTAGGAACTATCACGCCATCATCACATGTCAGCGAAAGCACTGTATTTTTAGACCCGCTATACATATTCCAAAATTGTCTAGGACTGTTAGTTAGCATAGAGGGGAGGGTTACAGAAAAAAATGTTCGCTTGGCCTCCGCGATAGCGGTCTTATAGGAACAAGCTGCTGCGCTATAAGCTTCCCATCGTTCAGAAAGTCCAGTAAGCTTGGCAGTCCGGAAAAGACGTTTCTTTTTATTATTGCATAGTTTGTACTTGTCTACAGAATAGGCTATGTGTAATAAACTTGTAGGAGATTTCAAAACAATTCTTTGTGCCTGTTTACCATCCTTTTATCAAAGAGCTTGGCAAATGCATTTGCAAACAGCTGGGCAAGTGCAACGAAGGCCTAACATCAGCACCAATAACGGCCAACATTACATGGTGTAGCGTTTCCCGTATTGTCTCATATTACGCCGGTCTTTGCCAATGTGGGACCACCATTGGCTGAAACCATGGTTTAGCAATAACCCAACATTGGTAGAAATGATGGGGCCAAAAATGGCTAGAACGATGGCTGAACAGTGGCTCAAGGTTGGTACCGATTACTGGGATAACGTTGGATAGGGTAGCGCTTCCAGTATTGTCCGATATTGAGGCCGTTATTTGCCAATGTTAGGTCAATGTCGTACCAACATTGGTGTGCTGCCTGAATTTGCTTCGAATGTTGATGTTTTGCTTCCAGTTGAAAAAAATAAATGAGTATTTTTTCAATTTACTGTTTTATAAAATTCTTGATCAGATCGCCCAACAATAAAGTTGTAGTTCAATTAGGAAATGTTTATTAGCGAATCGTCAAAATACCCGCTCCTTGGTGAGTACTGCGTTTCATTGCATGTTCCCCACGACACTCATGGCGAATGATTTCTAGCCACACTATCAAGTTACCAGCTTCTATGACTAATCTTTATCATGTTTGTTTTCATTTTAACGTGTCGAGTGTATAGCATTTTGCCCTAACCTTTTAAACTTCTCTAGACATGAATCTATCACGAGTATTCGAAGTCAGAACTTCTAGTTTGTTCCCCTTATCCGTACTAATTATGCGCTTAAATTTCTAGTTTATAACCTGCCCATATTGCTCAGCAACTTTTGTTTTTAGCACATCGATATTAATTAATTAACTAAAACAATGTGTGCGTTTTCTTTAGTTGAATAGTATTGTTTTATTTTAAAATTGTATCGTGTTCTGAACACGCGGTGAAAGCGGGCCTAGTCAAGCTTCTTATTGAAAGCTTTTTGTCCGATGTCCTGGCACAGATATCTTGCAATAAAGTTCAAGTACAAGTTTCAAGATTCTCTTTAAGGCCACTTTTTTTTCTAGCTTTATTCCGTGTGAACTCACTCGGGGAAAGAAATTACATCCAACAAATGTTTAAGTTTAAAGACTCATGTGGTGCACGACTGCACTTTTTGCTACGAAAGAAACCAAAACACACCTTTGAAATGGTGAGAGGAATATGATGGGGACATGGTAATCCTGGAGCGAGGGGGCATAAAAGGACGGACATACTACACGAAATTGCTTTATTTTGGCATTTAACAAAAAAACACAAAAACGCTCCGACAAAAAAAAAAAAAAAAAAAAACTTCCTTTGAATAATGTTACCAACGCATTGAATAGCCATCATTCACTTTTAAACGTATTTGAATGCGACTCCAGCATATCTCTCTGACTTTTTAAAAAAAATTATATCTTGGATGATTCATTTCTTATCACTTTATCGAGGGATAAAGCGCAACTTCTGAACGGCAGGGTCATTTCCATCTGTAACGAGAGGATCGAGGCAGGGAAGCTGTCGGCCTTCTTCGGGCTGGACGCAGTACTTTTGCATCAGACAGGTCGCGTACAGGAATAGCTGGACTGTGGCCAGTGACTCCCCGGGACACATTCGTTTACCTGGGTGTAAACAGAGTAATTCTTATCAGCTCTCTTCTGTTAAAAATAAATTGGTTAAAAAAAAAAAAAGAGCAATGGCGACTTTTTGTTTTGTCGAATTTGGTTTTCAAGTATCCGCCCATAATGCTAAGTACACAGTGATATCTCGAGTAAACAAAATATTTACTTACCGAATGAGAACGGTATAAAATATTCTGGCTTTTCAAGGAGTTCAGTGCCATCGGGTGTTAGAAATCTGGTGGGATCGTATTCTTCCGGTCGTTTCCAGTAATAGGGATTCCGATTCATCGCCGTAGTGTTCGGAAGGACCACTGTGCCCTTTGGAATGAGAAACCCCTCCAGAAGTATGTCTTCTTTCACTCTGCACAATAAAAAAAAATCGATTTATATAGCTTTACATTATTTTGATTTTGTATTGTATATGCTGCTTCATGTGTTTTTACCTGTAATTCGACCTGTTGTTAGTTTTTATTTGTGTCTTAGACATGCATGGTTAACACAGAAAGTGCGCACTGATCTAAAACCTACAAAAATATCGCAGCCTTGGATTAACATCTACATTACACACATCTTTATCATCGTTAGGATTATATTTGGGCAGATATTGCGAAATAGTTACATCCTGCGAAATGTTGGTCGCGCATACAAATCATACTAAATTGAAACATGTAAAAAAATGATTCTTTACATTAAAAATTGGGGTAAATTGTAAAAACGGCAAAGAATAAGCCGTAAGACAAATGTGCGCTTATATGAGCACAGAAATATCTCGCCGAACTGTAGCTGGTTCGTATTGCTTCTTGGGGTTTTTGCACGTACTAGACAGAGACTGCTACAATACAGGGTTCATTTTTTCTGACACGAAAAACGCCACTTTCGGTTCTGCAATCAAGTGCATCAGGCGGTTTTCGGGGCTTGGTAGGAATCACCCATAGTCTAGTTATTATGTGATATATTTAGCATTTCTGGTGCCAACACACTCTGAAACAAGCCCGTGAGTATACTTTCCCGCACAACACTCAGAGAGCCAATCACCGCAACTTACGGCGGCAGCTCAGCGGATGATGATGCGGAAACATATGTTTAGAACAAAAAACGCAGTCTGAGTTGTGACATTAAGCCATGCAAGCGTGTCATTTTGCATTGCATAATATCACAACTCTGATGGCGTTTTTTGGTCTAAACTAATGTTTCTGCATCGCCATTCGTTGAGCTGCCTCCGTAATTTGAAGTGATTGGCTCTCCGAATGTTTTGCGGGAAAGTAGACGCATGTGATTTCTTTAGAGTGCAGACGGGAAGCCTCCTTAGGGGTCGGGGGGACACCAAAGAAGTCAAGTGGTGTTGAAATAAACAAAAACACACACACAAAAAAAAGAACTTAAATCGTCAAAGGGTATACCCCCCCCCCCCCCCCAAAAAAAAAGGCTACTGACGAAATTTACGTAACCTGGTCTAGTGCGACATAAAATATATAGCGTTAATAAGTGGACAATACAGCAGCTAATATAGCACTCTGGTACGTGGTTATAATTGTCTTATTAACAGCGTAAAAGAGTACTGTGTTAGCTGCTCTAGTCATGAACATGCACAGGTATAAAAGGCAGAGTAGCTCAAAGTGGGTTCCAAAAGGGGCACGAGAGGTGCGGGGGAGGCCTGTTGATCCAAGGTGGAAAGTGCACATGGTGCCCCGTCGAAAATGCAATTCATGCCCAAAACTTGGGCAGCCCACACTCTAAAGAAAGCCCGTGCGTCTACTTTCCCTCACAACACTCGGAGAGCCAAAGTTTCATCTGCGAACTCAATCATGATTTGTAAGCCTAAAAAATGCGAGGCGATAGGACACTGCCCAAATATGTGTCTCGTCGTATCCATCGACGATCAGTAAATATGCAAGGTAGCTCGAGTTTGCAAGCCGGGGGACGAAGGCTTTCTATCTCCATGTCCTCCATGGCCGACTACAGCGTTCAGGCTCGCTCAGAGCCGCGGACGGCGTCGTCGCTGACAGGGAGCTGTGTGTAACTGTCGGCCGTCGAAGAAGACAGCGCTGGCTCGTGGGAACCGTTACCCGGTGTAACGATTCCTTCGTTGAGAAAGGACGCCGGTGGCGACTCCGGAGGCCTGGTCAGAGCTGAACAGGAAACCTTCTTGTCAGTCTCTATTAAAACAGATTTTGTCCCTTGTTCTTCATTGTAAGCGGCTCAGGCCTTTCCTCACGTCGTTGTTGCGGCTTGGAACGAAAGGGAAGGGGCACCTGCGTCATGGCAGGCGCGAAAGACTTCTTGCGAACGGTTGCCATCATGAACTGCGCTGCTGAATTTGACATGACGAAGTGATTAATCTTTAACGTGTAAGCGAGCGCCATTCTGTACTGGCTCTTTTATTTTATTTCGCCGAGCGCATTCCAAGCAGGCGCCATTGTGTTTTGCCTTTTTCTTTTATTTCGCTGGGCGCAAGGTTCAGTTCTCAGAAGATTGTGTTTTATTTTGAACTCCTCGGCGCCGGGAATCTCGCACGTGGATGCCCGTGCCATGAAGGCGCGACTGGCTGGCGTCGGGCAGGATGCGGATCGGGCCTTGGGCGAGACCAAGCTGCTCAAGAAAACTATGAGTCAGTCTAACAGCGGGACTCAAAGCGAGAGTGTGTGTGCGATGGTGGTACGCGACCACCAATAGTGTCCGTCTTGTAAACTCAAATTGTATCAAGAATATTAAATCCAGTGTTTCTTTAATTCCAAAAACCCATTCGTCAAGACCTCGTTTATTATCAAGAAGTTATTTTATTTGAAACGACCATACGATTACATATCAGAAGTGGGATTATCAACCAACTCCTCGGAACGAAGAGCGGACCGAAGAGTGACACAAGCAATCAAGTGCGTCAGGCATCCAATCCCGTGGACCCTGGATCGACGAGTCAAGTGCGATCAGAGTCAGGTTGGAGCGACCCACAGTGTGACAGGTGGGCGACGTGTGTGTGAGTGCCTGCGATTGGGGGCTTCCCATTGTGCGGAACTCAAGGTTCAGGTACTGTCGGATTTTTCATCTCCCTGTGGAACTCTTTATCAACAGAGTTTTCATCTTGCGTATGAGATGTAGTGTATTATGTTGTGGCTTTATATTGTTTGTGCGAGCGTGTGTGTTGGGTGTAACTACATGTACACAGCTCAACGCTTCACCATGAACCAGGAAACGTCGGGAGCGTCTCCGAGCCAGGCGGGTTCGCCTGAAGTTGCTCACTCCTTGGGGGACGGGTTTTCTTTGCACGAGCTCTTGGGAATGATTCGAGAAAAGGATCGTTTGTTAACGGACCTCTTGGGACGACTTGCCCTTCCGGCGCAGTCAGGCGCAGCGGACGTGAGCGGCGTGGCGACGTTCCAGGTGATGCCTGACCTCAGTAAGAACATATCCAATTTCGACGGAGGCGAGGACGCAGCAGCAGCGCGAGACTGGATTGAGAACCTAAAGAGGACGGCGACTCTTCATAAGTGGCCGACACCTTTCCTCCTGGAAACGGCAAAATCACATCTCACAGGAGCTGCCAAAGACTGGTTACGCTCACGCCATGCAGAAATTGCGTCGTGGGAAGATCTAGAGTACCAGTTTCGACGAACATTCGTTAGCCAGACCCGAGCAGCGGAACGCTGGAGGGGAATGCAAGACCGCGTCTAGCAGCGAAACGAGAGCACGATTTCCTACTTCCATTCGAAGATTCGTCTTTGTGGAGAGGCAAACCTCGACTTCTGCGATACTCGCGAGCAAGTACTCACCGGCTTGCGTTCGCGACAACTGTGCACCATGTTAATGGGGAGAACACACGAGGACGGTGATGACCTCCTACACGACATACAGGAATTCGAAAGGATCGTTAGGGAGCGACAAGAGCGCTTCGGTGGACAGCGTGAAAAAGGGGCTGCTACCGATACACCGCGAAACAGAGACCCGGGTATGACGTCTGTCAAGAAAACCGTTGACGAGAGAGACAACAAGGATAAGAGATCACCAATACACAACGAAAAGGGTGAGCGTAAGTGCTACAACTGCTCACGGTTCGGTCACATTGCGCGTGACTGTCCAGAGCCAAAGCGCCCACTGAAGTGCCTGAGCTGTGGAAAAACCGGGCACACTCAGCGTCACTGCATCGAAAGAGCTCCAAGGAGTGAGACCAACGCCGTAAGCAACTCAAAAGAGAGGAGTTTCTCTGAAGTGCTCCTTAAGCAAGTCACATGGAATGGCGACAAAAAGCTCATTGGAATGATTGACACCGGAAGTTCCGAATGCCTCTTGCGCGCGTCTGCGGCGGCGCGTTGCGGTGCTGAGCTGATGAGAGACGCAACACCTCTTTATGGATTCGGTAACCAGGACGTCCCAGCAGTAAGGACAATTGGTAAATGCAAAGCAGACTTGGATATTGACGGTGTTACCGGGAAGGATATCACAATTTTTGTTGTACCTGACGAGGCCCAGTTGGTCGACCTGCTCGTTGGTCGACCTGCTCGTTGGTCGAACTTTCACCGAGCTCCCGTACGTGACCTATGCTAGGCTAGGCGGATGTCTACGCTTTTGGCACAAGAGTCAGTGTCCTTTCTCCCACCTCGAACCCTTGAGCGACGATCCCAAGTTGATTGTAAAGACAACCGAAAAATCCACCCTCCAGGCGAACGTGATAAATTGGATCACGCTGTCATCAGAATCTGATGTCACTGGCCCCGTACTTTTCAACAACTGTGGAAAAGAAATTCTTCTCGACATGAAAGACGGAGAGATTGCTGTTCCAGTTTTCCCAAGCGGAAATAACGATGTAGTCATTAAAAAGGGACAGCGTCTTGGACGTGTCACTGCGGTCGACATTGTAAACACGCTCGGTGAGGAGGACAACCAGAGAAACCGAGCGGAAGAGAGTTACGAAACCGAGAAACAAGTGGTTTTCACCACGGCAATTCGGAAGCCGATAGACAAGAATCAGGTCGAAGTAGGTCCGTCGGTGACCGAGGTGCAAAGGAATGAGCTCCTTGATCTCCTGAACGAGTATCGGGAGTGCTTCGCTACGAACTTGAGCGAGCTTGGGTGCACAAATGTCCTCGAAATGGACATCCCGGAAGTGCCGGGAAGCTCACCAGTTTCGGTTCGGCCTTACCGAACAAACGTGGCCGAAAGAGATACGATTCGTGAGATCGTCAGCGAATGGAAACGAGAGGGAATTGTGAGCGAGACGCATTCCGCTTACGCAAGTCCCGTGATCCTTGTTCAGAAGAAGAACGGAGAGAAGCGTCCAGCGGCAGACTATCGACGATTGAACGCCCAGACCGTAAAAGAAAAATACCCCCTACCAAGCATTGATGATCAACTAGAAGGACTATCCGG